ATGGATTTTTACCAAAAAGACAAATAAAAAATAGCTTAAGGATTATTTTAGATAAATTGGAATACTATGAAATGCACCCAGGAAAGCAAATGGCACTAATTTTCTTAGATGCTCAAAAAACTTTTGACAATGTAAGTTGGCAATTTATGTTACAACAATAAACTGTATGGACTTTGGAGAAAAGTTATAAAGACCATTAAGACAATATATGATAAACAAACAGCAAAAGTAATTATCAATGGGGACTATACAGAGAACTTTAGTATAAAGAAAGGCACAAGACAAAGATGCCCACTATCCCCACTGCTATTTATACTAACTTTGGAAATTCTCAACAGAAATATCAGACAAGATCTGGAAATTAAAGGAACAGAGATAAAAGATAAAAGCTATAAACTCAGTGGTGGGATTCAGTCAGCTCGCACCAGTTTGGGAGAACCAGTAGCTAAATTTACCTGAATTCAGAGAACCAGCTGGCTTCTGGAAGTCCAGTCTAGGCCTTGGAGGCCTCCCAGCCTAGAATGGCCCACCGGAAATGCATGGATACCACTTCCGGAAGTCCGTTCTAGGCAACGGAGGCCTGGAGGAGGCCTCCCAGGCCTAGAACGGCCCACAGGAAATGCATGGATAGAACTTCCGGAAGTCCGTTCTAAGCATCGGAAGCCCAAGCCCGCATCACATAATAGAACCAGTTGTTCAGGTATTTGAATCCCACTACTGTATAAACTACAAGCATTTGCAGATGGCCTGGTATTCCTTTCAGAAGAACTGCTGGAGACAACTTCTAAACTACTGAAAAGGATAGAAGAATTTGGAGAAATAGCAGGATTGAAAATAAGCAGAGAAAAAACTAAAGTTATAGTTAAAAATCTTACAGATAAGCAAAAAAAACCCCCAACTGTTAGAAAAAATAAACTTACAAATAGTTAAGAAAGTTAAATATTTGTAAATATACTTAATAGCAAGATGCGCAATGATAAAAGAAGATAATTATATAAAATTATTAAATCAAATAAAAATGGAAAAATGGAAAAACTCACAACTATCAGTGTTAGAAAGAATAGCTACTGTGAAAATGAATATTTTACCAAAACTCCTTTTTTATTTCAAATAGTACCTATAAAAATAGAGAAAAAGTTTCTTGATGATTTGAATACACTGATTTTAAAATTTATTTGGCAAGGAAGGAAAGCCAAAATTAAACTGAAAATGCTACAAGAAGCTAAAGAAAATGGAGGATTTGGACTACCAGATTGGGTCCTACACTACCAAGCACGTGCTCTAACATGATTAAAAGAATGGATAATCCTCAGAAACAAAAGATTGTTATATTTAGAAGGACATGACTTACAACTTGGATGGCATTCATTTTTATGGTATGAAAAGAATAAAACCCATAGATATTTCCAAAACCACTACATAAGAAACACATTATTATTTGTATGGGAAAAGATAAAACTAAAAATCTATATGAAAATCCCAGGACGGCTATGAACGATGGAAGCATTCGTTCACTCAAATTTAATTAAATTTGAAAAAATTCTAACATATAAGGATATTCTGAATGCAGATGGGAAATTAAAATCTAAACAAGAGTTAAAAGATCAGGGTATTGACTTATCATGGTGGCCCTGACTGCAAATGAAACTGAGGTATGATAAAGATGTTAAAATATACAGTTTTTATAAAAACCAGACAATGTTTGATTACATGTTGTTGACTTCTGATGAAAAACTGATTTAAAAATTGTATAATTTTTTACCGAATCTGAAAATGGAAGAAACAATGATAATATGGGCAAAACTTTTTGGATATAGTATAGAATTAGAGAAATAGCAAAACCTTCGAGAAAGAAACTATAAATTGACAATGGTAAATTCGTGTAAAGAAAACCTATATAAAATGTTCTACAGATGACATCTTCCACCTGTTAGATTAGCAAAAATGTTTTAACATATATCCAGTAAATGTTGGAAATGTAATCAAAATCCTGGTACATATTATCACCCTGTGGTGGACATGTGTTAAAGCAAAAAAAATTGGACAAAAATACATACTTGGTTAGAAAAGATGATAGGGAAACATGTAGATTTTAAACCTGAAATCTTTTTATTAGGCATAATTCCAGAAAAAATGATAAACAAAATGTTAATATTTAACATTACATGTATTAACAGCAGCAAGGATTGTATAAATAAGATAACACCATTGGATGAAGCAATAATCAAGAAAATACTGGATTGTGGTGAAATGGATAGACTTACATTGAGAATCAAAAAAAAAGAAGACACAGAATACTTTCAAACATGGAACTTATTTGATCAATGGCTGGAAAAACAAGACAGAAAGTAAGAACTTAACTTTTATTACTAAGCAAAAAATCAACCCAGACAACGTTGCTCATTAGCACTAACGAATTGTAATAATAGAAAATTAATAAAATACTTTTAAAAAGAAAACAATCTCTTTCCACCTGAGCAGAAAGGAAACCGCCCCAATAGCAGAGGAACAAGATCAACTCCTAATTGACAAAATGCTTTTGGAAAACTGCAAGAGAAGGAAGAGAAACCTAAATGTAGCATGGATTCACTACAAAAAAGCATTCAATTCTCTGCCACATGACTGGATAATCAAGGGCCTAGAAATAATAGGAGTCAGTAGAAACATCAGAAATTTTGTGCAAAGAGCGATGGCACAATGGAAGACACAGTTGCAGGTCAATGCTGAGAGATTGGGAGAGGTTAACATCAAGAGAGGAATATTCCAAAAAGATTCACTATCACCACTACTATTTGTCATTGCACTGTTTCCTCTGTCAACAATACTGAATAACTCAGGCCATTGCTATCAAACATCAAAAACATCTGTCAGACTATCCCACCTCTTTTACATGGATGATCTGAAACTGTATGGAAAAACGCCATCTGAAGTAAAATTACTGCTCAACACTGTCCGTATATATAGCCAAGATATTGCAATGGAATTTGCAGTAGACCAGTGGTTCTCAATCTTTCTAATGCTGCGATCCCATAATACAGTTCCCCATGTTGTGGTGATCCCCAACCATTTATACATCACCGGGTTCCAGGGGTGTGGACAAAGAAAAGAGGAAGAAAATGGCGGACAGCCTTGTTTGGCAACCCCCGTGAAATGGTCATTCGACCCCAAATGGGGTCCCGACCCACAGGTTGAGAACCACTGCAGTAGACAAATGTGCCACACTCACTATCAAACAAGGAAAAATAGCCCCACTAAAATAACATTAAGAGTCTGGATGAGGATGATTACTATAAATACTTGGGTATCCTTTAAGCTGACATGAAGCAAACTGAAGTCAAGAAAAAGATTAGAGATGAATATATCAAGAGAGTGAAGAAGATCTTAAAGTCCAAACTCAATCAAGGAAATACCATCAAGGCAATCAACACCTGGGCAATACCAGTCATTAGATACACAGCTGAAATAGTGGACTGAATTCAAGAAGAACTAAAAGAAATGGATAGGAAGACCAGAAAAATAATGACAATGAATCATGCCCTTCATCCACATTGACAGACTCTACCTACCAAGGCAAATAGGTGGGCATGGATTGTGGCAAGTACATCAGATGGTTGAAGAAGAAGAAATGGCTTTGGAAAAATATCTGAAGGACATGCTAAAGGTGCACTGATGCACTAGTATATCAGGAAGGCTTATTAACTACTGGAAAGACCAAACTGGCCTACAAGCACTACATGGCCAGTACATTTAAAAAAAAATAGCAGGGAAAACAGATAATAACAAGACCTGGCAATGGCTAAGAGCAGGAAAGTTGAAGAAAGAGACTGAAGACTAATTCTGGCTGCAAAAGGCCAAACCTTAGGACAAATGCATACAAAGCCAGAATTGAGAAGACAGCAACAGACAGTAAGTGCCACCTATGCAAAGAAACAGTGGACCACCTGGTTAACTGCTGCAAGAAGATCACCCAGACTGACCAAAAGTAGCAGCATTACAAAGTAGCAACAATGGTACATTGGAAGAGCTGCAAGAAGTATCATTTGCCTGCAAGCAAGAACTGGTGGGACCATAAAATAGAGAAAGTCATAGAAAATGAAGAAGTTAAATTGATCTGGGACTTTAGAACTGAAACAGATAGGCATCTACCATATAACACCCTAAACTTAACAATTGTCGATTGAAAATACAAAAACTTCTGGAGAGCAGACAGGGCAGTGTCTGGAAACAGCAGAACAGAAGAGAAAGAACTGGAGAAGATAACAATATACAAAGATGCACAAATAGAACGACTGTGGCAAAGGCAAGCAAGGATAGTACCAATAGTGCAATCCCCAAACAACTGGAACATCATTTGAACATCATTGGAATGGAAAAATTCACCATCAGTCAATTGCAGCTTTACTGTGAATAGCTTCCATCCTACTACAATATCTGTAACATGTCAAACATCCAGATCTGCCTATCCCAAGTCCTTGGTAAGGACTCAATAGGTAGACAAAAATGCCAAACCCAGTTTGAACATCTGGCTGACTGTGCAATAACTGATGATGATGATGATGATGATGATGATGATGATGATGATGATGATGATATAAAGGCCTTCCTAACTTGCTGTCTGTTGCCAAGAGAAGAGTAACTTAAAAGCAGGGCTTTTTTTGTCATAGAACACCCAGAATGGAGTTCTGGCACCTTTTTTGGATGGAACCTTGTAGGGCAGGCAAGCGGGTTGTATGAAATGTGTGAGTTCCAGCACTTTTTTTTTTTTTTTACAAAAAAAAGTATTTATTTCAGCTTCCTTTGGCAGAATTCCCAGCATATTTGTAAATATTTACAATATTATAAACCTGTTGGCAATAATCCAAAACAAAGTTAAGTGTGGTTAACTTCTACTGAAGGCAATTCCATTTGTTATAAGATTTGTTCCTGCCTTTTAAAGAAGATCTTAGCAATAAAGTAATTAGCATATTCATTCTTTGAAAACCACAGCATTAATCACATACCTTTATAATATCCTGATTCATGTCAATTATCATCTTATACCATGATTCACCAAATATATCGGACCAAATACAAAAAAGATTTTTATTTTTTCAGCTAATGCTGGCATAGCTGAACATGAAATGAATCCTAAGAATAAAGAAAATTAATGATTATTCAGAACCATTACTAGTCACAGGCTATTTATAATAATTACACTATATCTGTTAGAGCAAAAAGTGGATAGTGTATCCACACAATTTGATGGTGATAAATCCCTGAATTAAAAATTATCCAACTATTTTGCAAAACAATTCAAATGTATTTTCACTGACTGATTTCCTGTCAATTTACCATCTTCAGACATCCTTAATTAGACATTGATTGTTTTCTTATATTCTTGTGGATGAGGCTTTTTATATCCATCATGTTTTATTAATAGTTATTTTTAAAAGTAATTTATTCTATTCTTATATGTTGTACTTGGATAATAGATTTAATTTTTGCCCTTTTTCACATGGTTTGTCCCTCCTATTCATTTTTTTTCTTTTAACAATCCTATAATTCCTTGCATAGGGGTAGAGTTGGAGCAACTGAATGGAGCTGAGCATTTACTGACAGGATGCCCTTCCTGATGCCTATTAGGAGCTCACAGCAGATATTTTCTCTTTGCGCCCAGAGAGACAAATATCTGCCCCTACCTAGGATCCAACTCACAGCTTCCTGATTATAAGGCAAGAACTCTATCTCTAGACCACCACACAGCTTATAACTCTCCTCTTCATTGATTGAGTAATAATGGTTTATTATCACATTACACATAGGAATTTTACCCAGTCTTAGGAGATTTTTCTTGAATGGGGAGGATTCTATACAGATACCAAGGATTGAATTAAAGGGCACTTGTTTTAAATGCAAATTAAAGGATTTTTGTTTTTGTTTTGTTTTAGTGATAGCAATCCCATTCCATTTGGAATGTCACATAGCACAGCCTATCTAAGGATACGAGTCAATAAAGATTATGTATGTTTGGCTTACTCAAGGCACCCTATCAAGCCCTAGCATTTGCTGGATAAAACTAGCTAGATGAATCATTAGAACGTCAATGGTATAATACAGGCTTTTCTGTCATGTACTGGTTTCACTTCATTTACACTTTCCATTATTGTGTCTCCAACAAATTGTTCAATTACTTCTTTGTTACTTCTTACCATTGTCCTACAAATCTAAACAAAAAAATTACAAAGAAGAATATTATTGTGTCCTGAGCCTGCAAAAGCAAACTCAGGATGTTGCATTGGTCCCGGGCATTCCAAAAGCTGCCCAGGACCAGACAGAGCAGTGCCAGCCTTGTGTGCATGTGCAAGGCACGAAAACGCTCTGTTCCTATTGGTTGACACTGTCCGGGCTTCTGGCCATATAAAAGGCTTCCGTGCCTTTGTGTTTTTGCTTGGTTGTTGTAGAAGGAGAATAAAGTGTTTGTTCATCATCGCCATGTGTCTTCATCATTCACATGTGAACGAAGGACTTAACACTGGCGACGAAGCTGGGATCCTTTGCAAGCTGAAACAAAAGATTTAAGGACTTACCCAGAAAGTCCTGAAGAGTGGAAAACGGCGTCTGAATCAGGGTCCCAGCCTGCCACTACAGCGTCGCTGGAGGGTGAGCTCGGCTAAAGGACCCTTTCCCCAAACAGCAGCTTGCAGAGGAAGCGAGTGGTGAAGGTTGTAAACTTTACGATGTCGAAGATTGGCCGCTTGACTGATTTCGATGTCTCCCACCCAGAGAGATGGAATTCCTATGTAGCACAGGTGGAGAACTACATCAGAGTAAATCAGATTAGAGAAGACGGCCTGAAGACAGCAACTCTTTTGTGTGCCTGTGGACAAGAAGCTTTTGACATCGCAGAAAATCTGGAGGCCCCTGTACCTCTGGAGTCAGTAACATATGCTGACTTGAAGAAAATGTTGAAGGAACGCTTCCAGCCGAAGGTGTCCGTCATTGCTTGGAGGCACATGTTTGAGCAGAGAGACCAGAGGCCGGGTGAATCTGCTGCTGACTTTTTTGCGGCCTTAAGGCAAGCAGCCAGATTTTGTGAGTTCAAGGATCTGGAAGAGAAGCTGCGAGATTGCTTTGTCTGTGGCTTAAGGAGCAGAGACTTACAACAAAAGATTTTTGCAAAAGAAGATGTCTCCTGCCAAGAGGCGTTGTGAGAGGTGGCAGCTGAGGAAGCAGCAGGTGGGGCTGTGAAGGCCTTGAGCCTCGCCAGGAATCCTCCAGACACAGCTACCGTCCATCAAGAGGATGCTCGAGAAGGATCAGAAGAGGATCCTAAAGAGGAGGTCGACAGACTTCACCAGCCAGCTGAGAGGAGGCAGAAGGGACATCCGGTCAAGGCCCCAGCATCTTTTCAATGCTTCAGGTGCGGAGGACGCCACAAGTGAGCTGACTGCAGGTTTCGCTCCGCCATTTGCAGGGCGTGTGGCAGGCAGGGCCACATTGCATCCATCTCTTTGGGTCGCCAGAAGGCCCAACCTTGGGAAGAATTGCTTCAAAAAGGTACCAGGGTCCCCAGCCAAAGCAGGGTGGGTTTCTGCACATCACGCAGGAGCATTCTAAGAACAGGGACACACAAGCCTCTTAAGAAGAAACTTTCCATTAACATTAGGTTGTAAGGGGTTCCCTTACTGATGGAGTTGGACACAGGGTCCGCTCTTTCCATTATTTCAATTAATACCTTTAAAAGGATTTGCAGCAGTAGTGGCCTTTGAGTTAAACTCAGGCCATCGAATCTAATACTCACTGATTTTCATAATTCTATGGTGTGTGTTAAGGGGGAGGCCACCCTTAGGGTACAGTATAAGGATTTTGAAGGTTCCCTAGATGTGGTGGTTGTTGGGGGTCAATGTACGAGTCTTATTCGACTCAATTGTTTTGAGGCTCTGGGAATCCAGGTAACTGGGCTACACAGCTTGCAAATGCTGGGCCTTGCAGAGGTTTGCAAGGAGTTTGCAGATGTGTTTAGTTCAGAGCTAGGATCCTACAAGAGGCCTCCCATTTCGCTACAGTTAGACCCAACCATCACGCCCATCAGGGTTAAGCCTAGGAGGGTACCTTTTGCCCTCAAAGGTAAGACTGATGCTGAGCTGGACAAATTGCTCCAGCAGGGCATTCTAGAACCTGTGGATTCTAGTCCATGGGAAATCCCCATAGTAACGCCTCTAAAGGCTAATGGGGAAATATGTATATGTGCAGACTATAAGTGCACACTGAATAAGGCGCTGCAACAGCACGCTTATCCAGTGCCTGTGGTAAGTCACATTCTGGCCTCCCTCAAGGGGGGGGGCACATTTTTGCTAAGCTTGACCTAGCACAGGCCTATCAACAGCTATCTGTTGATGAGGCAGCTGCAGAGGCCCAGACTATTGTAACTCACAGGGGGGCCTTCAAGGTCAAGAGACTGCAATTTGGGGTAAATGTAGCCCCTGGCATATTCCAAAGTGTCATGGAGAGCAGAGGTATTCCTGGGGTCTGTCCCTACTTTGATGACGTCTTCATTGCTGGGGAGTCATCTCAAAATTTAGCAGAAAGATTGTCTTGCTTCGTTTTCAAAAAGCAGGCCTTAAACTAAAGAAGGATAAATGTAAGACAGGAGTCACTTCTACTGACATCTTACGATTCAGGATTGATGCCCAAGGCATTCACCCTGATGAAACTAAATTGCAAGCTATCCAGCAGGCCCCAAGCCCTAAGTCTAAAAGTGAGCTGCAAGCCTTCTTGGGGCTATTAAATTTTTACCATACATTTCTCCCACATAAAGCTGCAGTGGCAGAGCCATTACACAGGCTCTTAGACAAGCAGGCTCCTTGGCAGTGGACTAAAGTTCATGACAAGAGTTTAAATGAGGTTAAGGCCTTGCTCACTTCTAATGCTGTTTTAGCGCATTTCAATGAGCAACTGCCTGTTTGCATCGCATGCGATGCATCTCCTTATGGGGTGGGAGCTGTACTGAGCCATCTGAAGGCTGATGGGACACAGGTCCCTGTGGCCTATTATTCAAGGACTCTCTCCTTTGCAGAGCGAAATTATGCTCAAATTGACAGAGAAGCTTTAGCCATAGTGGCTGGCATTAAGAAATTTCATGATTTCTTATATGGCCGCCATTTCACGGTCTATACTGACCATAAGCCTCTGCTGGGTTTGTTTACCACTAACAAACAGACCCCACATATCATTTCTCCTCATATGCTGAGATGGTCCATTTTCCTGTCAGCATATGACTACACTTTAGTTCACAAACCTGAAAAAGAAATGGATCATGCAGATGGCCTGAGCAGATTACGTCTGAACCAATTAGAGCCAGATCCTACTCCAGCCATTAATATTCTTTCCATTCAGGAGTTGCCTGAGTTTCCCCTCAATGCTAGGGACGTGGCTGCAGAAATTGCCACTGATCACACGCTTACACGCGTGCTGACATGGGTGTTGTCAGGATAGCCTGACAAGTGCCCAAATACTGAGTTCCAAAGCTCCTGGCACAAGAAGCATGAGTTTTCCACTTTCAAGGGTTGCCTGTTATGGGGTAGCAGCCTCATTGAGGTCTAGAATATTGATTTCTCTACATGAGGGACATCCTGGTATAGTCAGGATGAAAGCGCTTGCGCGCAGCCATCTTTGGTGGCCTGGGCTCGATAAAGCCATCGAGGCCCAGGTGCACGGGTGCCAATGGTGCCAACAGTCATGGCCTGAAATGCCTCAGGCCCCAGTACATAGGTGGGAGGAAACTCAAACCCCATGGTCTAGGATGCATATAGATTATGCTAGGCCCTTTTAGGGGCAATTCTTCCTGGTTGTTGTTGACAGCCATTCCAAGTGGCTAGAGATTGTTCCTGTTTCCTCCACTACTACTTCCAGGACCATCCAGGTGTTGAGAAGAATTTTTGCATCACGTGGTCTTCCAGATGTTCTGGTTTCAGATAATGGCCCTCAATTTACCTCTTCTGTGTTCCAGGCTTTCCTTCAAGCCAACCTGATCTGGCATGCAACGTCAGCTCCCTTCCATCCATCTTCCAATGGATTGGCAGAGAGAATAGTGCGCACCACCAAAGATGCTCT